CTTTTTGTATATATTTCTTAAGCACATAAGGAGGATAAACACTTTCTTGCAAAACTGAATACAAGAAACTACAAAACCTTGACTGTCATTTACAAGCTGAACAAAGAAAATAAAATTAAGAGGCTGCCAAAATGACCAGAGATGAGCAAGCTAAACTGTTTTCTAGAGTGATACATACTTAAGTGCTTACAGAAGAAAATTCAGTGCTCTCCTAAAACGCAAACCCCAGCTCTTCCAAAACACTGACCTACAACCTCTTATCTGAAGAATATACAAGCATGAGCTACAAAGACACACTTGCGCTGCCAATATAAATCATGGCTTTTACTTACTCCTTACTGTTAACATTGCAACGGTTTTATATTTCAGTTTTCTTACAGCAGTGCTGTCAGCACTTCACAAGTGTATTTTATCTGAATTCTCATCACGCCTATAAATCCTAATTAAGTACAAGGATTAAGTACTGTACAAAACACTAAAGTAACCCCTAAATATCTTTAAATGGGGCTTCTCGATGTAGTAGTACACTCGATGCAATGCTATTACATCTTCATTTTGCGTAGCCAGACACGACTTACTCAGGTGGCTTCAGGAGCTTCCCTGGCCCAACTCCTACACCCCACCCACAGAGGCTAACTGCAATGCCACAGCCCGCCTCTGACTCCCCAGCTCACGGGGCAACTAGTTGTCTCGGTGCCGAGCACACCTTTGCCCCTCTAGAGACTAACAGCCTTGTACTAGAAACTACTGATAAAGGAATTTAATTCAACTTCAAATTTAAAAAAAAAAAACACGTACAATGGTAGGTCCAAGTTAAGAGCTCCTGAATAGACTTCAAGTTGCAATGTTTCGCTTTCTGTAAGTTTTTTTCTGAGCGCGTCTGTGTTTCACAGCCTTTGGTCTTTAAAAGCAAATAAAAGAAGGGCAGGCAGCATTTAAAACGGCGACGTTAAACCCTCCTTGGTACTGTAATTTTTTTTTGCTTAAGCTTTCCCACGATCAGCGTCAGCTCCAGTTATAGCGGCAACAGTAGGAAATCTGATAGAGAAAATAAAACATCCCACAACTGCCTGCGAGCAGAAATCGCCGTGCTTCGCGCCGGCAGACTCCCCCGGGAGAAGCCCCTTCTGTACTGCCCTCGGCACAGCCAAAAAACCTTCGGAGGAGGAGGGGAGGTTTAAGAAAAGATCTAACGCAACGCAGGCACAGGCGCGCAGACACCGCCTGTCTCCTTGCTGCCAATTCTTCGTATTTAAAAAATAAAATAAAATACAACACCGTATTAGCCAACGTGCCGGGATACTTTTAGAGACAAAGCTAAATAATAGCTGCTTCCAATTAGGGGCGACAGCTCAAAACGCTTTACTCGTCAGAGCAGTCCGGTGGTTTTCGGGAGAGGAGCAGCCCTGCGAACGCCCGGCACCGCCGCCCAGAGGGTGTCCGGTGCGGGCCGCGGACCGAGCCCCAGCCGCGCCGGGAGC